TCCGGTTCTGCCACCTCAAATTCAGTACCTGTCGAAGCCAGCAGAGGTGAAGGTGATTGAATCTCGGCGCCTGCTTCATATACACCGTCCAGGTCTCCGTTCCACACAGCAGCGTCCGCAGGATAACCACCTTGCACCTCTTCAGTTTGGTGTTAAGGTGGATACCGTGGCCATTCCAGACTGCGCTTTGCAGACAACTGAAGGCTTGGCTGACCTTGGATATACGGCGGACCACTTCATCAGGTAAGCCAAATGCCTCAAAATACACAGTCTCGACGAAGCCGTTAATAGAAAGCGGCAACGGACAGCTGCTCTGGGCAAATTAGAATGAGCTGGACCTATGTAAATTAGAGTCTTTGGCTACTTGCCTATGGGCATCCGTATTGATAAAAATGGACAAATTTATCATTCAAGTACAATTCTGCGTGGTCAACAAATGATAATAAACCAGAAACCGGCACAGCGCACTTCTGTGAGGAGCTATATAGCTTCTGATTCACACGCGTTCACTGAAGTTTTTGCATACAACCTAATTTAAATGAAGTGACGGGTAGGTAGATTAAAAAAAAACGGGTTGCACCAACCCAAACAATTTAAGAGAATCTCCGTAAGAAGTAGAAACACTCAGGCTCCTTGCTTCAAAGGTACAGTTTTGGCGGACATTCCAATTCTTAAATGAAAAATGCGATCTGAGCAGGATGTCCTTTTCTTTAAATGCTGCATAGACGCAAGCCTCCATAACTCAGGGAGACTTAATAATAAGGGTATGTGATCTGAAGAACCGTTTGCTACGATAAACGTCAAAGGCCCGCCTAGTAGTCCACAGTCAGTTTGCTTCTCGTAATGAGGTGTCCTTTAGTCGTCTATTAAACATCGTTAGCTTTACTTTCATGGACGCCGTTAATTAGTTTTCTATGATACTGTCATGAAATTGGCCGGGGGCCCACTTCCCTAGGCCTGCAGTTTACCGTACACACATGTACGCTTACTGTCCCTCCCATGTTACGCGCGGCGTCTTTCCAGAGACAATGAGCTCTCGTGAACGCATTTCTTATGAGATGGTAAGGTCAACGCGAGTTTTAAGTAAAAATGTATGCGAACATGTGAAGTCGTGAATTCAGAAGCGCAAATCATCTGGAATATTACCGAATAATAAATAAAGTGCCCTTGCTTTCATAAAAAACAGGCATTTTATCGCTGAAATACTAAAGAAAACGTTGTCTTCTACCACTAATCCTGACGAACGTTTTTCACTAAAATATACTTTAGAGGGATTATATTCAAAGCCTCTAAAGGAAACGTCCTACCAGTTACAGTCGCCCTAGCTAAGGCAATAAAAATTTTTGTCAGAACCATTGCCACAAGCTCATTCTTCACTATGACCCTAAACGTTGTCGAAATCTAGTTAGTTAACTTCGACATTTCTGCCGGCATGAAATCTCAACCTTAGCTGCATATGGAATCATTGTTTGTCCTTAATTAGTTTATGTGACTTGCAAGCAAACGAAACCATTCTGTCCGGGGAAGTTGTTAAGCAGCTACAGTGTATATTTTTAATTAGAGTAAAAGTCACGTCTGGGAAACGTACTGAGAATCACTTGTCAGAAAGCCAACTGGAACATATATCAGGTCCATGAGCGTCAATTTTTTGGGGTAAACTCTTGGAAAATAATTAGTGCTAGTTGTATTTAGGGTAGACAGAGGCCTTATGACAGCCGAGTTGGGGGATTCTCTTCTGAGCCGCAATTTACTTTTATGATTGTTAGAGACATGTGCGTTTCGTTCGTCGGACATTTTGCTGGTAGCTCCTCAGGGTGTGTCTGGGTTTATTTTGTCTGGCAATGCAAAAGTGATGCGTAATTCATCATTCCGGTTTCCCTGCCCAAAGTTGCAGTTAGAACACAAGCGGGAATTCACTTAAAAGGCCTTGTTTCCAAAATGAATATCTCTAGTCGATCTTTAAATTCTACCTTCGACTGTAATATTCCAGTCGTTTTCTAATTTGTGTGATTCCTCGTAATCCATTTCTATACTGACAATTTTCAGGCCACATAGAAGTATGTCTGTCTACATTTTCATGTGCCCAAGTGGGTTTATACGTTATAGGCTAACTTCACATCTTCGACCGTTTTCATACATCAGACCTGGCTACATTTGCTAAAAAAATGGTGGTTTTATTATCACTCTATATCATCCCGACAACGATACGATTTAACCATCACAAACGAACTGTATTATGGCTATACTTCGTTCTTTCGAGTAGGGTGAGAAATCATCTGACGTATTCGCGGTGTAGGTTCGTATTTCGAGATAGTGAATGTCCAAAATCCTCAATCATATTTGAACCTGAGATCTTTGCAAAATAAGGGGGATTTCTCAGTCATCTAAGTGCGATAAATTAACCTTGATTTTCAGACTTGTAGATAGGTTATCTTAGAGGATCAACGTGCTTTTTCTCCATTAAGCCTCTATAATGCGCTAAAGTAGACGAGGAATATCTAGAGACTCTGCCCAAGTTCATTACTTCTCTAGGAACTGCGTTCATAATAAACTTCATATAATTTTATTTAATGATGCTCAGCATGAATAGGTTCTGCTTTCTTTAATTATTTTATATAAACATGTGGACTTTCAGAAGGCGAACATTAAAGTCAAATAAAATTCACTAGTCAGCATATGTTGCATTCACTGCCTTTGTAAATTTGAAACGTCCTTTATTTTTGAATCATATCCATCTTTGCAAAACAACGGAAACGCCCGACTAATTTCTGTAATTGTTATATTAAAACTTCCCTTAAATCATGAGAGCACGTTGTGTGGACTTGTTCACTTCACATTTGCTAGCAAATTTAGTGTAGAATACCGAGTTTTCAAACTAACGCATGAATTTTACACAAGCAGATATCCCAGGGCCAGCGAAGAAATAAGCAGCATAAGAGCCAAAACGTCTATCAAATTTATATTCCACGAGTGTTTAGGTGATACATTTAACCAACATGAGTATGACCATACGCGCGCCTGGATGGTCTGCCTTTGTTCTACAAGTTAGTGTCAAATTATCTACATGAATTCCAAATTGTTATATGTTTTCATGCGCACCTACCCTCCAAACAATTGTCTCAGCTTTTTAAAAGTGCTCTTAAGCTCTATCAGGGGACTATGATTAGGATTTTTTTTAACAAATGCTAAACAATAGTTTTTGAGGCATTCCACGTAAGCTGAGAAGCCGAAACTGGAGAACGTCTAGGCTCTAGGAGTATGCTGCAGGCAACGTAAAAGTCTCTACTAGCACCTATGTCAAACTACCTAATGCTTTGTTCCCGTCGTGTTAAGAAGATGCATTTGCATTCTACCGATGGTGTGCTTTACCATTCTGCCATGCGTTCAGCCTAAGTGTTAGCAATAATGTTAAATTTCAAAAATAACTGCTTTTGAGTATGTTGCATAATGCCATGCATGGTAGTTAAAATTTACAGACTCAGACAACAATAACTTGGTCGCATAAACATAGGGAGGTCCGATATTTAGTATTTGGAGAAGTCCTAGGCAAAAAATCTAAGCAAATAATTAAATCCTTCTTGGACAAATGTTTTATGAAAAAAAACGAACGTAAGTCTACTGCCGTGCTAATATTACCAACCGGCTTTGTCAATTCGGCATACCACGATACTGAAAGTAATAAGTCCAGTATGGGAGAAAAATATTAGCATATTTATAATACTAAGCAATGCTTCCAAATAGTTTCATGCAACTCCATCTCTATTTTTTGGAGGACGCTATTCACAAGTGTCCTGGTTAGCTAAACCGCGGTTGAAATACCCGGTGTTTAAAAGAGGCGTAAAATTGAGCGAGTGGGCAGGATAACAGGAACTAATAAAGCGTGACTGAACAACTCTTCTTCCCTTTCCATTGTCCCTCGTTTGACTGCTGCTGATTAGTGGTTGTCTGTTATCGAAGACTTCGGATAAGATTCAATCTATTCTTAGACATTCGTCCGTCTCCGGGTATCGTACAAGTGCTAAAGGCAATGCGAATACCGCCAATAAACGCATAACCGCCCCAAAAATTCATCTAAATCTCAACTTGATCTCCCAACTCCTCAAGTTAGATTCCGCAGGATAAAAGTAGGTTCTGGAATCCTTTCAATTTCAGTAAAAGGTATAAATTCCTAAGACACGCACGCCGATATATCAAAGATATGCTGACCATGAACAACTGACGATCATAATTGGGAAAATTGGACGCTGTATCATGATCGCTTTGCAAGCAGTCAAGCAAACAGTCTGCAAAGTGAAGCCGCGACTGTCCAGGAAACATGTTTTTCCGTGGTCTTCATTCGTTTCATCCATCGGTAATAATGAAACTTGCCCGGTTCCTTCTCTTTTTGTTACAATATAAATGCGAGTTGTGTTGTGTCTTCTCAAATAAACTGGTGTCAGGTCGGTACCACTGTTACAGTTGCCCGTTATCCTATTACTGCCGCTATGCTATTGTCTGCAAAGCACACTTTGCTATTCCATTTAGATACTACGCAAGGAAGGGACAGTGCATGCTTCCCCAAGCCTTGTGTTCACCTGATGCGCACTTCTTTTTACAGTATCCTTCGGATGACCCTATATATCTGGGTATGTAAGTGTACCTTTAGCTCTCAATATGATGTTCCCCTGGGAGTTTATCTGTGTTTTATTTTTTGGTTCAGGTGTGACAAGTTTATTACATGTAGAATTAGTTTCCTACGCGCACCACTGATGCCATTGTTTCTTCTGCAAGTGGCAAACAAGAATCCACTTAAAAGTCTTCTAGTTTAAATTAAGTGTAGATGTGTCTTAATTTGCCAGTGATTAAGTAGTCCAACGTCTATGGGTCGCATGCGATAACTTGTGATTTGGAAAATTTGTTTAATTGTTTCAACAATGGCATGTTCACTTGGTTTGATGGCTGGACTTTTTGATTCCGCAATATCTTTGGTTCAGACTCGCTTTTAGTTTTGCTTTATCTGGATGAAGCTGCGACTAAAATTTCGTTCTTCTTTCGTTCTTATAAATATCGAAAATTCAAATTCTGAACTTCTCCACATCCTTGAACTGGCGGCAGTACACTTTAAGTTGAATGCGTATGCTATTCATTTTTTCTTTAGTGTGATAACCCTTCACCCTCTAGAGCGAACGTTGAGCTGAGCCTGAACGCCAATGATTTCTTCGGCTTTGACAAAGCTACCATGCGCCTTGACGAATTGGGGGTCGTTAACGGCGATATCCTGTACGTGCGATCCCGCGAAAGCCTCGACGATATCAAAAATACGTTAGATAACGAAGTACTATCACGTTCCTCTCAACGTCTAGATGTTCCAAAAACTTGATGCAGTCGCCTCGCGTTTCAGGGTTGAGGGAAAATGCATAGGCGTTTGCCCTGCAATAATTCCACTGGATATTGCTGCAACTTCAAAGGGCCTGGAGGTAATTGCTTTTGCACGCTATCCTCGTGCTGATACTGGCGACCATTTCGCCGATGGCATCTTATCCGGCTCGCAAGCAGGACCGTCTTGTTATTAAAAGTTAAGATCGGTGTAGTTGTTCTCCCCTTGTTTTGTAGTTGATTCCCCCCCCCCCCTTCGTCAATATATCTTTACCATTATATACCGCGCCAAGTTAAACGACGCACACTATCACGTAAGCTCGCCAAACTAAAAGTATAGTACATGAATCTTCCCCACTTAAGTCTATAACTGCAATGCCGCAATGACCGCATGTCATATCAGTAATTTTTGTCACTTTAAGATTTGCCTATACCCATCCTATAATAGTCATGGCGATTCCGGCTGCGATTTTTTGTACTTCGTTGTCTTAATTCACTTAGAAATGAATGCTTTTTTGCGGTTTCTTTGATCAGCTTCATACAGATCTAAACAGCGTTCGGACAACTGTCGAAAATTCGCCCGATATCGTCCGCCTAACCTATCTTTACCCTCCTGCGTCTTCGATGCCGATCGTCTTTACCACTTTTTCCGTTGGCGACTATATAAGTATAGCAGGTAAATCTTTTTCTCATTCTATCTCAAGATCCTCGTTTGATTGGTGCAAATCCTCACCATATACTGTTTTGTGCTTCCTTATTGCCTCAAACGTTATGGTTGCAAGTTGAAGCCACACTCCGTTTGTAACTTGCTCCATTTATTAATCGTGTGGATAATGTAGCAAGGGCGTTCACAAATCTGACTGCAGTACAACTCCACTTACAAAATTAATATAAAAATTGAGGAAAATAAGTATAAATATATGTTTATAAACGCCATAAGGAATACGCAATAAGGAAATACTTGCCTTATTTAATTTCGCAGGCAGTCGCATAATGACAGTGACGATCACTTTCCACGTTTGAACCAGCTCGGTTAATGCCCACGCAACCAACATGGCAGCTGGCTTGCGACTTAGTACCAGAGGCTTGGACTAAATGCTTACTGAGTAAAATGTTCAGGCTCAAACCCTAGATTATTCAAATCAGGGGTTGCGGACGGCTGGCAACGGCTAATGCCTCAAAATGATCACCCTAGTCTCCTTCGTCTCTGTTAGCATTCGTTCTGCATAATTAATGCATTACCTAAGTGTAACTGTGTATTTTTGAGTCACAGTGTCGGCTGGGCTGGAAAACCATTTTGCGTGCATCTTTTAGCCGGAATATCAAAAACCTCCATCGCAAACCAAGTCGCCATCAATAAAAAGTCCAACTTTGTAAACTGTGGACTTCTCGACTCAGGTATGACCATTCTTTCATTTAATTGAGTCTTTTTTTACTTGCAAGTGTTTCGAATTATTGATTGTGTCGATTGTTGAGGGAAAGGACAGAGTAACCATCAAGTTGAGGGATCTACGCCGTGCTCTTAAGGAGCAGGCCTGGCGTCTTTTTTGGATGAGTGCAAGATACTCCTTGTCATGTGAAAACATTAACAAAGTAAGAAGTCTCTGTTATCTTATGGTCCCTTGTTGTGCTTCGTCAAATATCACTAAAAGCTTGTTTATTCGTTAGAGCGACATAGTTATGATTACAGCTGGGGTTCCCTGGAGTTGCAATGGTTGCATCTTCGATAAGTTTAATCACCGTCTCGACATCGTAGTTAATTAGACTAGCAAGTGAAACTTGAACTGCGAATTGTGACTTGAGATTTCCTGCTTCATCCCCAGAGGCTTTTTACAGGTAGTGCCACTGTTGCACCATCTTACCGTTAGTGTTGCGGCCATGAAGTTAAACAACTGGCCTCGGAGATTTGTTCCTGGTTTGTGAATATTATGCTTATGAAGAATGTGTTCGACTCGTTTGGAGGCGTTCCACACGTAAAATAACGACTAGTATGCTACCAGCCCTTGTTTGCCGTTCAGTTTGCTTCTCGAAATCACTCACTATTGTCGAACAGACCTGATACGAGTTGTGAAGAAGCGAATTCGGATTGAAAGCCCATTTCTTCGGTGATTTAATTATGAGGTTGGCGCCATTTAAATAAACGATTGCAGCAGTCAGCTTGATGGAGAAGCACAGGCTAAGGAGTCTCTATTCAATCGATTCCCTTGTACACTAACGCCTGACCGGCCAGCATCCCAGTCGAAGCCAAGAGCGAGACACGTATGGCTGCCTGTGAAAAAAACAAATAGCAAATGTCTGACAATAATTTGCATCAGGCGTCGAGGAACCAGGGCAAAAGTAGGCAACCATAACTCAAGAAAGACTCGGGCAAATCGACGAAAATATCATTGTGCTATGTTATTCAGACTTATTTTGCCTCAAGCCCGAAGACCTGTGTCTAACCTTTTCTCGAATAAACTTTTTTAGACTTGGGCAAGAACGCAAAATTGATGTACAAACAACCCCGAGACTTAGTCATCCGCATAATGGATGAGCTTATAGAACCCGCCTTGCTTAGGATTCATGATGGTAAGACCTCCTCTGGTACTGGCGGCAGTCGTATAAATGCCCTTGCGCCCACTACTGTGCATCCTTTGTTTTTTTATAGAGCTAAACTTGAAGCCACGTCTACATCTCTTACGGCTACCGGAGTCAGTGCTTGTAAGCCTTACCAGTTCTACTTGATTCTTATAGCATACCAACTATGATGGTGGATATTTTGTGGACATATTCTTCTATCGCATTTTTACGCATCTGAGCCTCCAGGGATTTGTGGTTCGCAATTCAGCTGGTATTTTCTTGAAGATAACCCCATTAACTATGGCTGCTGCTGCCGTCGTCAGCGACTGCCTGGGAGGACTCTAAATCAGCGCAGCGGAACGACTGTTGCCATATTATCACCTCTTTCTGGAATGTGGAACCCTTCTGTGCTGTTACCTTAAAACCATCCGGCATGTAGTGCATGCTCGTTCAGACAAGGACAGCGGAAGTGGCTAATATGAGGGTCGCAGTTGGCTTTGTTGCTGTCCGTCTGGAAAGCCTGAACGGATTGGTTTGATTTTCGCAGGATTCAGACCGTAAGGATTAAACATAATCTGCTAAACTTGACAACACTGGCCGAATTATGTTCCTTTGTTTGCTGACAAGCGGTTTCGAAACACCGGAGGCCAGTTTAGCATAAAGATTAGGAACGGCTCTCGATAGCTACTCCGTTGAGCACGAAGAGGCCCACCACCATCCGGGGTAGCTGTTGGAACTTGCTCAGGCTGACAAAGCACTCGCGCGTCCCTCCTTCAGCCCACGAGGATGTTTAACACAACGGCGTGTCCGCGTTGCAGCCACTGGCAGCTGGGTTAATTGCAGACTGCAGGCTTAACTGTGCACGGTCCTGTTACATTGACTCTTGTTGACGGGATTTGAAGCCTGGTGGACGTTTTCTTTTCCCGCTCACATTAACTTCCCAGTTCAGCAATAGTGAGATCCCCAGTTTTCGCGCTTGTTAAACCATTTTGTTTGGTACCTCTTCGTGGGAACTTTTTGTTCATTTCAAAATCAAGACGCACTTTCTTTTCTCCGCTCTTTTTCCCTTCCGCCTCCGCTGGGCCCACGGTCGTGCTGTGTGCCACCGAACAGTCCAACATGCTGACTTACCTCCCCCTGCGCGATCTGTCTCGAGTTTTTGTATCCTGCTCGTGTCTGCACAATCACATCCGTACATCTGAGACCATCTGGCGCTACAACCTGGCACGGTTGGAGGCGAAGCGGCAGCCGGTGGCTCAGGCTGCTCTTCTAAGACAGCAGACACTCCTTAACGGACCCCTTTCTCCTGAGACGACTCCTGGGCCATCTCAACCCAAGACTGGTGAGTATACACTGAGGAATGAGCTTGTCTGTAGACTGCTCAGCGCCCCCGTAAGTGAAGAGTAGTTGAGTGGCGTTTAGTGATGCATTGCCACTAAGTGGACTGTCGAGTCTGACGAATAGGCGGCCGCGCATGCGGAGTTGGGCACTGATCTAGCAAATCTATAATCCTCAAGACGATCATAATCTATGGCAGTATAACGGCAAAACACAAGTCACATGGCAATAATGGACACAACCTGTATGCCCATCGGGAGCGCACGCGTAAAGTGCAGTAGTCGGGGTTATATGACTCCCAGTGAATCGTCTGACTGTATTACGATTCCGCACTTTATCCTTTGAAAATTAAACCTCTGAACAGTCGACTTTCATCCTCGCGCAGCCGTTTACTTATTGGATTTTGATGCATTCTGTAGAAATACCCAAGTAAGATACTTTGGGAACCGATCACGCGACTTTAAGTCCGATTTTTGGTCAGGGCCCAAACCGATGTCAGCCCAGCTCATGCGGAGTAAAGTATGTCTTCAGTGCTTGCCCTGTCTTAAAGTTCCCATCACAGCCACGATAACTGGTACAGCCAAATTCAAATACTGACATTTTTGACCTCCAAGAGAGGTACGTCCGATCTTTACATTCATGGTACTGTCTGCTTATCTACCGGAAGCAACCAACGTTTTGTGTACAAACTCCCGTCCACTCTATGGCGGTCATCAAATCTCGGTGTCGTCTACATCCCATCCACCAATGACAATGAATTACAGCCTACTTTTCGGCACACAGTGTGGCATGACGTCTCTCTTGCAACTTTTAGATCCACCGGAATTAGCGGAATCTCGGTCTTCAGCCTCCATCACGTCCGAGCTTAGCCTCGGCGCCAGTTCTGAAGTCAATCAGGATTGTCCATCCTTCCAGGTGGGTGTTCTTCCAGCTTGACGGGTCTCAGCCCCTTTGTCCTGTTTAACTATCACGAGTCTGTTATTATTCGATGAGTACTAACAAATTTCACCGCCTCGGCAGCAACATTTACTTAGTCGGGATGTGTTTCCGACCGATTTTCCCTCGTGATCTAGTTTATCCCAATAAAAAAAGTGGCTTTCGAACGGCAGAAGCTTCTAATATTGGACTAGCTGGGTACAAAGCTATCTTGCAATGAAAAAAAGCTATAGTGGTCATTTCAGACAATTTCATCAATCGGCGATTGTCCATCGCTATGTGACCGACTGCAAGATCTCACCCGGAGTTCACAGGCGTACGAAATCTGTCCTGTCCTGCTCACGTCCATGAACTCCAGTGTAAAGTCTTTGTGGATTCTTTTAACGATCTCGTGCGTAAGTCGTCTCCTATCAGCTACCACCCCCGCTTAAGAAACGATCACTGTTAGGGGCCTACAGTTAGTGACCGATCTCATGAAATGTTGGCTGAAAGTCTGAAATGCGTTTTCGATTAGGAAGGATTGCGTGGGTGCGGTTGGAATACTCATTATCTTGCGGCATAATCTTATAACATTTCAGACCCGCTTCTGGGATGTTGGCCGGAATTCTGAAATACGTTTTCTATTAGAAAGGATTACTCAGGTGGGGTTGCAATACTGGTTATCACGCGGCATAATCCTATAATATTTCAGACTGGCCAGGATGTGGACCTTTAAATGCAGGTTTTTCGACTTCCTGCAGAAACCACACACGATAAAAAATGACTACTTACGTAGCATGCATTTTTCCCATTGATTTTCGGCGGTCTTGCAAATTCAAATATATCTTTTAGAAACCACAAGCAAAATATGCTTTATTTCAGTGAATTAGTAGAGAATTACATCTTCTTTATATTTTATACTCAAGGAAGGAGTATAATTAGGTGTTAGAAAAGTTTCAAATTACGAGACTTTTTAAGACCGCGCAATGTTCATTCACATAGCATCGTACCTGGCCGTTTACCATAGCTCCTCATTAAATGTACAACATAGTCCGCATCCATCGCAAAATTTTATGGACTCTGTATGATATCCTTTTAAAATCATAGAAAAATATGTGATTTTGTCTATGCGGAACACATGCACCTTGTAGACTGAAATCATCAAGCGCTAATGCAACGAATCATCAGGCTCCAAATTATTTGGCAATTAGAAAACTTTTTAAAACCTTTTTATACTCCTTCCTTGAATATAAAATATAAAGACGTAAGTCGTCTCCTCTCAGCAACCACCCCCACTAATCACTGTCACGGGGTATGTGCACGTGGATTTTTTGGCTTAGGGGCTCAATCATTGTCAGCGAGCACGGCTGGCAGAGTCAACGCCTGCGGATTCCGAATGGAATAAATCCATCTTACCAGTTGCCTCATCTCGTCTATTTGTGACGTTTAGTCGCCAGTTCTTCGTCCGGCCCGTAGTGATCTACAGGCCAGCCACTCTTAACAGCCGCGCGGGGTCTTCGACCACCAGTCCCGCACCACTCGTTCCTCCGATAACAATACCTTCGATTGCTAAGGCACAGCCCCGCAATCACGCCGGAGGGAGAATACACTGCACCACATACAGTCTGCTGAAAAGTCCCTTCAGGGAGTTTTCAGTGTAAGATGGACTCGCTTATTAGGGCCTGGTATGTTGGCGCTACTTGTCGTTGACCGTAAACTCTGTCACAGAAACCGGTTAATTTCGAGCTTGACGTCTCAAGAAGAAAATTCGGCCGTCTATCTCTTGACACCAGTCTTTTGGGTGCACATTGCACGAAGTAAAATCTCGCAGTTGAGCGCAGAACACCACTACTAGAGCCTGCCTTAAGTCGGCTCTCATCCCCCCCTTCCCCATGGGTACGTCATTCTTCACTGTTGTCTTTTAATGAATTTCTCGTATGCCTAGCCTCATCGGAGTCAATTGTATAGTCCGATACACGAACACTTACCATTTAACACCGAATCTAGTCCCACTTTTGTCCATCAGAACTTATTTTCCAAGTCCACACACTTGAGTTACTTGTAGATCTGGTCAGCGAGTAGACGACTAACGTCCGGTGTCCCTATGAGTCACTACTGACCAACTGCTTTTATGCTCCCTTTTACCAATCTATCTGTTATCTCTCTCCTTCCCTCCAGAAATTCCTCGCGCGTTATCACAGTCTTGCAAGTCAACGAAGGTAGGTTGCAAACTACCCCCTCACCCTAACAAACTGTTCATGAACCTGGCAGTAACTAGTGGCCTTTTGACAACTGCTGGGTAGTGTGATTGCTTTAGGTAGTTTACGCTGAAGGTCGTCTCCTTCATCCAGGATGCGCCAATTATTTGGTGGTCTCCCCCTTCATCGAGGACTTTTCCCCGCTGTTGAACCAATACCGTGACGGCCCGCATGCAAGTCGTTAATTCCTGAAATATTGTCACCTGTGTTAGATGTTGACATGGTAATTGTTGGGCCACCTGGTTCACCGGCCTGCGCGCTCCCTTAAGTAGCTAATTATAGCGGGCAAAGTAAGTCTCAGCACCGAGTATGGGGTGGAAGGTTATTGCATATGTTAGTAGACTGAGGTTCCGTGAACCACGACGCAAGCAACTCGCGGCTCATGCGATTGTTGCCTCTCGCGAGAATTTTGGCCTCATAGAACTTGAATGTGTGACCGGGTCTCGTCGAACGGGCCGCAGCTTGAGAGTTGACGTTATTCCTCAGCACTGCTGCCGAGTGTTCGACGATACGAGTCCAGTGAAGTCTTATAGTTGCTCCGAATTAGCCGCCTTGCTCGCAACTGCACCAGATCCCATAAACGACTTCTGGTGTTCCTTACCCTGGCAGTGGGTCTTTTGGCCTAATGGTTGCCTCCGGTCTTTGTGCGAATTCAAGTGGCGCGAGAAGGCGCTCACCAAAATTTGGGGTCAGTGTGATTCAGTTCTGGGCGGCGCACATGCCGGTAGGCCAGGTGGTCGAGCAATAATCACGTCAGCATCCAATTCGGGGGACAGAATTTCAACAATTAACGACATGCATGCCGGCCACTGAGGGGGCAACCGTCAATTATCGTAGGTATGCAGTAGCATAGCGACTGCATCCTATAAATACTGAAACTTCCCAAGTGCGAATTACACCGATTTTATACCGTCTCCGATGATGGGTTCCAGCGTGAATCGGGCAAATAAAGCTCTCGTTCCAGCTCTTCTCAACTGCCTCCTGGAGAATTCGCGCCTTCGGTTGCATCGAATTCTGACCTAATTGCCATTGTAAGTTATCCATGCCTTCAGCCCCCTCCGGGCTGGCATGACCCGAATTCCGAGGTCGCCGAGGCAAACGTTGTGCCACCGAGTCACATACTAGCGCCTTGCCAGCCGTGATCAGCAGTACTCAATCACAGGAGAGTAACGCGCAACGACCCATCACTAATTGGAAGTTTATGAGGCACTCACCAATCAGTGGAAATTGCTGCCCTCCCCCTCCACCTATACAGCCGGCCGCACCCTTCATGCAAACTGCAGTGTCATCATCGTTCTTGGGGGTAACCTTGTAAAACTCAGTTTATAATAGCATCGGACACATCATACCTCATTGGTTCATCTGTCAACTTTTCATGGGAAATTTGTTTACTACTGGTGTCTGTCCCACGACTTCCTCTTGTGCAAACATACGACAATTTCGAAGGCATTAAACGTCAAGGAGCACTGGGAATCGTAGGATTTCAAAGTGATAATTCACCGCTGGATTTCTATGGCCCGAAAATCTACGTATATTGCAGAACCATCAAACAGGCCGCATGCTGTGGCATATTCCGGCCGTTGCAATTCTCAAATACTAGAATTGTTTCCCTTTATTCTCCTCCAAAATTTAGCTGGCATCGAAGGTATTGATTATGATTTCGCTCAACAAACTAGTTATATGGTTTATATCATCACATGACAGGTTTAAAGAGTAGGCAATTTAGTATTGGTATTACGCAACAAGATAATGTGAACAACCGTTAACCTAGCTAATCCGTACCCAGGTCTAATAAAACCAAAGTTGATTTGGGTGATCTGCGGAGGTCCTATTTTTGCATAATCGATTTAATTGATTGCCACGAAACTAGGTGATCCAGTGTTCTACAACGCTTTACGGAAGCATTTAAAAATCGCATTTCACTCCTACTAAGATGTAATTTCTCTCGCGTGGAAGTGACCAGAATTATGCTTTCACAATGTCTGAACTCTACCCAGACGAGGCGGTTGATAGGGAAAATGATGGCCGTCCCATTGTTTCCGAGGAGACATTATTTTTCGTTAAACTTTACGGCAATTCTTTGCAATCTTATGATCTATCCTAAATGCACCGGGATAAGGATAATTTAATTAAATGAGAAATGCCAATTGTATATATTTTTATTTGGCATAGTCTGTACTACCACACCTTATTTTTGTATTTATGCCGTCACATAATATGCGTGCGTAGACAAATGCATCAGTCAACTGAAAATGCATTGTATTTTGGACAAGACTGGCCAAAGTGCGAAGACACATGTAACGGTTCAGACACATTTGTCAGGCACTTATAGCCGGTAGGCAGAATTTCAAGAAAGGCTCCCCGGCCGTCACAACTGCCTATCGAGCTAGATCGATGAACATCACTGGTACAACTCTGACCTCACTGTTTTACCTCCTTTTCTTTCAGGTATCGTGTATTTACGACCTTCGCCTAATAGACAGGACGAGGCGTCACACAATCGCAGTGCGCGGCTGACTATTCCATCCTTCGGACGCTGTGCTCCGATGCAGCTTTCTCTACAGCATTCCCGACCTTCCAGTCTTTGTTTATAATCTATCCGACTCTATTTAAGATGTAACCCCTCAGTTCCACTCACTCAGAGAAATCTCTTATTTTTACGATACTTGTCTTATTGCACCAGCAGGAGTGGGGCTGCGAGCACGTTAAAACGGTACTTCGTGCAACTTTAATTGCCTAAGAGGTGGTAGCTAGATCCTCCGTCCAGTGAAGAGAAGCTTGTAGTAACTAGCGCGAAAACTAGATCGCAGTAAACAAGACTAGCGTCACACGTCTGCGCGTACCCTTCACACTGACAGTCACACTGTACCGGTTGCGAGCACGCTTGTTACATCCAGTCAGGACGGGATGTGACTGCTGGTCGCAACACGGCGCCTTCGGCTCCTTCTTCATGTTACTTCATACTTTGTGAGTAGTATTCGTCCACATCCGGCACCAGGCATTTGAGCGGCTCGGACAATGGGCTGGCGCACAAAAGAGGGAGGGACTCACAGTTCAGCGCACGGTGAACCAAGTCCTGTGTGTGGCACGCGCAGACGGGCTATCTTAACTCTCTTAATCACTGCGGCCAGTCTCAGCATCTGACCGGCTCGGACAGTCGACTGATGAATGGAAGAGGAAAGAGAGAGAGAAAATGAGCGAGGCCTATGTGTCAGCGCACAACTCTCACTTCAAACTGTCTGACGCGCTTGAAGCTCTAACCCATCGTCAGAGCAGGAATCCGAAATGTCAGGCTAATAAAGCTCTTGTCCCAGCGATCGTGTCCCCTTCTTCACGGCTGCTTCCTGTACTCGTTCCTCCGCTTATATTGGCAATGTAGAACCAATTATGCGTCCGGGGAAATGCTACATTTGCGGGTGACGTTCCGCATCCGGCACCAGACATTTGACCGGTTCGGACAGTGGGCAGGTGCACGGGTGAGGGAAATGACAGTGAGGACTACCCCTCAGCGCATGGCGGACCGAGTATTGTGGGTGGCACGCGTAGACGGGTCAGTTCAACTCTGCGGCAGCATCTGTTGGTTGGCCGGAGAGAGGTCTACGTCTCAGCACACAACCCTCACTTCAAACTGTTTAACACGCTTGAAACTACTGCGGCGCGCTAAAAGCCGCGGCCTGACAGATCGCCAACTGACGGTAGCCCCCTGCGCCCGATCCCGCCTTCGGTCTTCTCGACTCCGTTCTGATACTGACGGGATTACTCGGACTCCGCGGTCAGCCCAGTGTATGTTTGTGTGCAATGGCCGAGCGGTGGACTGAGAGTCAGGCTGCGATTGATCCTTTTGTAATGTAGTCTTTATGGCGCTTTAGCCTAGCGGGATCCGGGCCCCATTTTTTCGATGTATGAAATCCTGGCCAGTGTACGTGGCAGAACAGAGGGTTTGGTGGTACGCCTAGATGCGGGCTTTCGCCGTGTCAGCCGCCTGCGTCCTCTCTCGCATCCGATCTTGACTCTGTCTTCACACCAGGCCCAGATGAAGGAGGTGAGAGTGCATTAGATGCTGTGACAGTCAACTATTACTTTAAGCTAATTCACAGGTAAGTCACCGTATCCGGCCTCGCCTTGCCGTGGAGAACACGTAGACATCGTCGGCAACAACGTTTGATCTGTCGAGCAGCATTAGTAAACCGGACGATGGTAGGCTTCAAGCGCAACCACGCAGTCTCCTAATTGTTGGCTTTTGGAAAATCGACTTATTCTCCTTCAAGCACTGGGTTTGCTAGAAGCGGCTTCTATAACACTGGGTGCCGCCAGTGGCATCCTCCTGTACTTCTTCGGCGAAATCTCTCCAGATACCTGTAGTATTCTAAGTTCAGTTTAGACATGTATACTACTGAGGTAGTTTTGTGTTTCCTGTGCCATATCTAGGCAGATATCCGCAAAGGTGCATCGATACCTCGATTTTCAATCACAAAGATATGAATAGCATTTCCTCAAAGCCCGTGACACAGATCACCGCGGTTTATTTAATCTGTCGAGTAGCATTAATAAACCGGACGATGATATGCCGCATGCGCATCCATGCAGCGAAATTTGCTCTTCAAGCACCGGGTTTGCAAGAAACAATCTGACGCGCTGAAAGCCATGACTTGGAAGACTGTCGACTGACGGCAGCCACCTGCACCTGATCCCGCTTTCAGTCTACTCGACCATGTTCTAATACCATGCCCAAATGTGGCAGGCGTGAGGTGTCCAACAGGTGCGGCCACGAGCGTAGCACGATCATAAATCCGATCCTGGACACCTCGATCGGGGTTCAAGTAACATGGCAGAGTTCCTAGCGCGCACCGGTCCTGCTGACTAGAAACTCTCCATCCTACCCAGTTAGCCGTAGGTCACGTTAGCACGAAATTGACTGGACAGACTGCACCACGAGTGGGCAAAACGCAGACAACGAAGGTAGTGGAGGCGAAAGGAACGCTAGAGTGCGTCACATGGAAGCGGCGCTTCGCCGACCCGACGCGCTCACTCCGCCTGTCTTGGAGTTCCAATCTACTCGTAGGCAGTCACGACAATAATCAATCCACAGGAGTCAGACCACGGGTCCTGGGGTTGTAATATCTGCCTGACGATAGCTAGAGATGACGACACCGGTCCCCACTGGCGCTGATAACGCCCTCTGTCCACGTCGGTGTACCACCATCTCTAATAACGAGCATTCTACCTGTAAACCCCAGCGGAACTATCATTAGCGACCTCACAATTCTCTAGGACTACGGGAAGTGGAGAATTCGTAATGCCTTGACACTGATGTTGTCCCGGATATGTTTTCCTCTCGAAAGACCATTCAAACCGAGACGGTTGGTGTGTTGCACCTCCATCTCAGGGGGAGGATAGCAAGGACGTAGTCGCCCAACCCGCAGGGTTTGTGTAGGCCTTCAAGGTCGGCTATGAAATCGTCGCGACACCTCAACGGCCACGAAGCTCGGGGCGTGACGAGCAGTCCTCTACGTGTGTGAATGCTGGGCTGTGGGTGGATGATAAACTAGAGCTGGAGCGGTGTTTTAATATCCTCTCGAATGCAACAGTCCTAATTAACTGCGACACCGCCGAGGTATTTCAACCCGTTCAGAATAAGCGGATGCAGTAGTTCCGAAAGCCCTAAACCCGATACCGTTACTCATCTAGAGGTGTTGAAGAGATCACCTCAAAACTTGGTTCGGAAAAGTCCGTTAAGACAGAGATGGTTTTTGCGTCCTCGGCATTCGATTCAGGTGGTTGGAGAAGGGGATGCCTAGGATGTTCCCCATTCGCTATTTTACGCACATGGACACCTACTACCGAAGATATCATTGAGGCTGGTTATCTCAAAGCCGTATGAAGTGCAATTAAGCAAACATAATGAAACCAGGTTGAGCAGGTCTCCGGACAGAAGTGCAGTTTGACAAAGGCGGGGCGCGTTCATCCGACGCCGGAGTTCCGGGAAAGGCGTGGAACCAGTCCGCTCAGGAACTGCAATGATTTTGGCAAGTAACCCATCACGCTGACGCAAAGCCTCGACTGAAGTGATTAATGTACATTAGTATATTAAAATCAGTACAAAAGTCCCCTACACGAGTGCACGTGCAGATTCTGCAGAACGACGGGGGAGGTGAAGGTAGACTATGTGCTACGAAGGCGCCTTTGTGGACGCAGACGGCAAAACTGTACGCAGTCGCTGTCCGTCTCGAAGGGCGCACAGAGACGTGTCTCACAGCTGACAAATATTTGGATTTTTCCACCGACTGGGCGGGCCCTGTCAAACTGTGATGCCTTGAAGGAGAAACCGACTGTGGTTCGTGATCGGGGTATCAGGCGGACGCCAGGATCGGCGGGACATCTAGAGAATAAAAGGCGAAATACCTAAGATTCAGTCTGAACTTAATGGTTGGCGCAATTAAGGAAGAAGTGGGCAAGTTCCACGTACCCATTTTTGATGAGGGCAAATTTCTCGGAGGGGGGTGCGTTTTCCTCCGCACTCACCCAACAATTTCTTAGGACTAGTTTGGCGTTGATGTCCTCTTGTCTCAGAGACACTTTGGCGTAGATTGTCTGTTTCGGCAAGATATTCAGCGGCTTACTGATGGGATTTAGAAAGCTACAAGGAAGGGGTTAGCTATGGCGCATACGGAATGGCGCTTTACTGTATGTCGCTGTAGAAGGATAACGTGGCTGATGTATTCCAAGAGGCGACCACTGGGGGCAGCGTACTCACTGGAGCTGCTTGGACATCCGAAATAACGGAATCGGCACGACTAACTAGACAGGTAATGGGAAGGAGTGTTTGTGGTCTTGACCCCAATCTCGACCGATTAGTGCCGATCAGGAGGGAGAGGCGCAGTGCAAGGATCGTCGAGTTGCTCTGGAAATAAAAAACACATATATATGATCTACTGACCATATTAAAGTAGACAGTTTAACGTCAAATTTAATTGTTACCATTTCATATGTGCCTCCACACTCCTCCATCGGGATGACCGCCACAATGTCCGAGTCTGTCTCGGTTACGTTGATTACACAGGCGGGTGGGCGAGTGCCGTTGATGGTTATCATGCCGGGCGAAAGTCCCTCGTTATGCTGCTTTGAGAACGTAACCACGGCCACTGAAGCTTCACAGTGGAGCTGGGGAGGGGCAACTAGGGCAAGAGAGGGCACGTAATGGTAAGGAACTCGCACAGGCTTATATTGTACTTTGTTCATCATCATCATCATCATCATCATCATCATCATCATCATCATCATCATCATCATCATCATCATCATCATCATCATCATCATCATCATTATCATCATCATCATCATCATCATCATCATCATCATCATCATCATCATCATCATCATCATCATCATCATCATCATCATCATCATCATCATCATCATCATCATCATCATTCCCATCGTCGTCAGCCGTTAGACTGTGACATCAGTTTCAGAGCG